TTAATTATCTGCCGCGTAGTTAATCCGCTCAAACTTTAAAACGACAATTGAAATAGCAAAGTTAAATGACTTTAGTTACAAGCACCGAGAAACTTATTGTTTAACTAAGATTAATTTCATACTGAAATCTTTCCTTTTATTTATGAAGATGTCAGAAGCCCAATCTGAATTTCAATTCAAATGCAAAAAAACAAGAGAATAACGTGTTGGTTATTTTGTACTTTACACTGTGTATATGCCAGTAATTAAAATCGACTTTTATTTTTATTTTTACAGCTTTATTTTTACTTAACAAGCTCGCTGATGAAGCAGTAAAATACTCGTAAATTTAATTGTAAGAAAACGAAGGTTACAGCTTTAACTACACATAAAAACACTACCCTTAGGGTGTTTTGATTATTAATAAGTTTGCGTAAATTAGTTCTCTTTTCGCAGTTTTCTTGAAATAATTGCTACTTGTTTTAACGTCGCGCTCGTGATTGTATTAATGCGACCGAGGATTGCGTTTTTTGCTGGTTAAGGGTCGAATAAGATCATTTAAGGTTCTATCCTGAATTTGGCCCTCTTTTTTGTTGAATTTCTAATGCTCCTTTCTGGCACAGAATCCGAGGACGTGGTTGTGAATAACATTTTGTATTCTACACATGTAAGTTCTCCAATAAGAAGGTGTATTTGATCGAGAAAACGTTAAAACGCATTAGTTCCGTAGATTAGGAGATCGAGCTCGATGAAGATGTATAGACTGTTCAGAGGTTTTTGAAGGTTTAATAGATGAGAGAAGTGAAAAGCAGGTTCATTTTTCCAGCACCTCCCCATTGCTGCTATTTTTGAAAAAACCATTGGAATCGGATCGATTGTGCTTCGTTTGTGCTACTCTCCTCCCCAGAGCAACGGTGGGCCAAGGAAAGGCGATCCATAGGGAACCTGTTTGTCAGTTGCTACGGAAAAACTAGTTTGTACATAGCAATTGCACCCCCGTTTTGGTTAGCCCTGTTATTAAATTTACATCGATATCGATCGGTAAATTAAAAAGTCATCGTTTTTTTTTCCACACGCGCATTAACTACAACAGTAATACGTTTTTCCACTTTCCTGGGAAAAACTAGTGTGGGTAAAAGACATTGAAACATACCGTATGAAACCATATAATTTTTTTACAAATTTTGCGTAATTTGGAAAGCATTCCGAAAATTTCGACACATTTTTGATACATTTCCAAAATTTTCTACACATTTCCCCACACTTGAGACAGATTTCGTTCGTGTTTCCATCATTGGAATATTTCTTTTTTTTTAACATATCCAACATACACCTACACCTACACCTTCCTATAATTGTCTACACTTTTCTGATACATTTCCAAAATTCTTAAAGAATTCCTGAAAATCTTCCAATTTTCTTTGATTTTTGATTTCTGAAACATTTTAAATATTTTGAAAATTGCTACACAGTTTCGATCATGTCCACACCTTAAGACACATTCTGGAGCATTTCCCTCGCTCCGTAATATTTCTTAATTGTCTATAAATGTTTATAAATTTCCAATATTTCCGAAACATTTCCTGACGCATTTTCAAAATACTTTAAATATTCCAGAGACATTTTCCTGGACTTTTCCAACATTTTTGATATACTTCTATAATTGCTTAATTTGGGAAGTAGGTTCAAACTTCTACACAGTTTTGATACATCTCTAAAACGTAGGCACTACACATTTCTGAAACATTTCCAAATTTTCCTAAACTTCTAAACTTTTCTAAAATATCGTTTTATACCTTTCTCAAATTTTTTGAAACATTTTCAAAATGTTATAAATTACTAATGTTTATGAAACGTTTCCAATAATTCGAAAGTATTTTCTGAAGCATTTCCAAAATTCTTTAAACATTCTAGAAAGATTTTCGAACTTTCTGCATTTTTTCAAGATTTCTGAGACATTTTTTAAATATCTTACAAAGTTTCTTACACAAATTGCAAAACTTCAACAAGAAAATTGTAGTAAAATTTCTACAATTTCTTAAACATTTCCAAATTTTCTACACATTTTCAATATGCTTCATTTGAAATATTTTTATACATTTCCAATTTCCAAATTGTCTACTCACTTTTTTAAAGTAAAACGTCAAATATCCTGAAGAGTCTGGCTATGTTTAATTTAAAAAATCCAAAATTCCTACACGTTTTGAAAATTTTGAATCGTGTCAAAAATTATCTTCGCACTGATTTGCATTTTTATATTACTTATGAAGCATTTTCTGAAATTTCCTAATCATGTCTATGTTTTTTTTTATGTATGACACGTCCAATGTACTGTCGTAAGCCAAAGGGAAAGAATTAAATTGAAATCATTGGGAAACACTTTCTTACACATTTTTGATCAGTTTTTAAAACTTCTACACATTTTCTGAACATTTCTGAAACGTTTAAAATTTTTTTAAAACATTTTTGATGTGTCTACACGCTTTTGGGACATTACCAACCCTGATATGGATGCAAATTTAATCCAACGTAGGTAATAGAACAAATGGGCTATCCGAAACAGTGTTTGTGACCAGACTAGTGGAGTATTTGCACTTCTTATATGTCAATAGTGTGGAAAGTTAGAGCGTATTAAATAAAATCGCAGAAGGACGATCTAGTCTGGTGACGAAAACAAGAGCTTCCTCAACAGCGTTCCTTTCAAATTGATAGACAGAGAGGACCAAAACAGGAATTTTTGGCGGGCGAACAAAGTTATGTAGTAAAGGTTCGTGGAAAGTTTTGTCCGTATTCAGAAAAATAGTACGAGTGTTGCGGCAACCAAGAACTTGTTCATAGTGAAGCCTTTTGACAAGGTATTTCATTTATTACAAGTGCTATACTATCCGAAAGGCCATAGAATCTAATTCAATAAGCCAGTTTGCCATCAAGTTCAGATTAATAGGAAAGAGAAGATCAGTTTCAGTGCGTTTGAATATCGCAAATCGCAAATAAGTAATTAAGATTTTTTAAATTTAATTTTTGTGAAACGGCGGCGTGCGGGGTATGTGTAAAAAACAGGCTCCAAAAGCTTCTGCTTCTATCAGCGTCTTGTTTAGTTTTATTTTTCATGTCTGGCGGAATCAATTTTTTTCATTGTCATGTAAACTGTGCGTGTTTAATCGAACCCCGAGTGCGTCCCAAATAGAGTTTTCATGTCAGATGTTAATAAAAATGTGTTTAGATATTTCTTTAATAAGGTTTTGGATGGAAATTAATAATAATAATAAATCTATAGAGTATAGAATTATAGATATTGTCATGTTGCCATTTTTTACAATCTGGATTAGACTTGCTTAATTTTTTTAAATAGGACGTTGGATGATACATTTTTAAAGGGTTGTAAAAGTTTCTTTAATGGTGTTTCAGGCAGAAAGAATACAGTCTACCGTTAAAGCCCTTTTTTAACCGTCGTTGAGGACGGTGTTAATATTTTTGGTAGGATTTTAAAGTTCTGCATATAAAGTGTAGCATGGCCGTTCAAAGGTACTGAAACGTTTTGTAATGAAGTGTTGCATTTAGCCTTAAAGTATGAAATTGGTTTCCGCGTTTCCTTTAATTACCATATTTTAGTTTAAGATAAAATGGATCGGTATTATTCTTACATATAAACTTTAAACAATGTTCGCGCATTTTTCGAAACAAAATTGTACATTGTTTGTTAAACTTGCAGACTTCACATGAAATATTCAAAATTTATTGGGAATTTTTATTGCAGCACTGGCACGACCATAACGCCTTAAACTTTTCCAGTACAAAAGACGTAAAAAATGTAAACATATGTAGATGCACCAGATAAATAAAGAAAATTCCGTTCGAACTCGAACAGCTGCACACTTCAACATATATCACATCTTATGTTACATAATGAGGGTCATTACGTACATAAGTAGGTATTTTTCAAGAATTTGAGAGAAAAAAGTGACGCAATTAACCAATTAAAGAGATATTCCGTAACGGTGGCATTTTGGTCTTGTGTAAATCTTACCCTGCGTCGATCTTCGCAAAAATCGATCGGAATGATCGTCCTACAAAAAAACGTGAATTGCAGGTGCAATTTTATCTCCGGTAATTACGTTAATAAAGGCGAGTGAATATTATTAAACAACGCATCGGAGTAGTGCATAAAACTGGATTAGCAACCTTCGTTTATTTATCATTAATATAATAATTATTAGTGTACGGGTTCGTTTAGCGCGAAATGGAGATCTTCGAGGAATTTTTATTGAAGAGAAAAGCTACGCAAACTTGTGAAGCGAAAAACATTAATTTGCGATTGGTCGATACCTTTAGATTTTTAGGAGCTCACTACTAATCAGTGGTAGAAGTGGCCCATCAAAATAAGGGTAGGTACACTATCAAAAACCAACGCACACGACATTGTGTACGCGAGGATTTCTTTAAATAAGTAATTTGGTTTTTTTTTCGGAAGGTTTATGTCAAAAATTTTTTTATTCTTTATGACTTTTTTTAAGTAGGTATATTATTATCATTTTTCTCCCTTACTTCGTTAATCGACCATACTTTATAACTGTTTTTTTCTGGGCTCTGGTACTGTAGCCCTTTTTTGAATACTGTCTACAAACTACTTCTGTAAATTCATTTCAAGTTATTCTTGCTAAAATATTACGGAAAGTCTTAAATAATAAAAAGAACATTTATTATAATTAAATATTGAGGTACACCTGTTAGTTCTCCAATGAACACAAATGACGAAAGGAAGTGAGAGGTTAAAGTGTGATAAATAGAACATTACGGCCCATCCCTAAAAGGTATTTCACGCAATAGATAACCTTTTACAAGTTAATTTTCTCCGACCTAAATCCTTTGTTTATTTATATGCGATGCTTACCAGTATCTGATGAAGTGGTTATAGTAATAAATGAACGTCGACAATTAGTACTTGATGGATAATGTTTTACGATTTAGCGAGATGCCAAATGCACAAACCCTAATTGAAATTAATTCACAATTTATTCGAACAAGTAAATAATTGTATGAGTGGAATAATAATTAATTCTTGTTATTTTTTTTCAGGTGAGTCCATACATGCCCAGTTTATCTTAATCGTTTGTCCGGTAAGATTTTAATCTACTTATTAGTTTATTAAGTGTACTTGACTTTTTCTTGATCAATATAAAACTTACGTTCACGGACAAAGTGAATGATTTTAATATAGGTAATTGAAACTTAATGTAAGTATCCAGAAAATTGAGAACTGTCAACTCGATCATGCACAAACAGACGATAACTATAAACTCATCTAAAAAGGGATCGGGGGAAAGTATTGTCACTTCCCACTAAGTTTATTGTTCATCTAAATATGTGCTATGAATAAGGTATAAAGCTAGTAACCATGCGCGCCGTTGGACCCACCCTCTAGAGTCCCAATGAATGAGCGAAGTCTTTATAAGCTCATAGACGTTTATAAGTTGATTGTTCCACTGTATAATGCATTAAAGGAAGTTGTGTAGATCCATTGGCGTGGATATCTACTGTTTTAGAGTACCTACTTATATAACACATAAAAACTTTCAATGCTTTTTCTGATTAAATATTTGTAAGATATATTGCCGAAGTTCCGTCTGACCAAGAAGAAGGTATAGTTTAAATTGATGTAGATTTCATCTAACTATAGGATTAATAAACGATCATCACGTTGCAATTTAAATGAATAAAATACCTCTGTGTTTTCCTGCATTTGACAAACTGAAATCTAATGGAAACAAGGTCAATCAATAAATTAACAGAGTTTTTCTTAGCCTTTAATGAATTGTACAATGGAACTATAGGCAACCATGTTCCCAATAGGGGAAAGTCGTTAAGGGATTTTATTTTTATTTTTTGACGTTGTAAAATTTTGATAATTTCTCCATTACACCCTACAATAAAGCAAGTACACCATAGTTTCATATTGAACATTTAATTTAATTGTAAAATAAATTGAAGTGGAGACATTATCAAAATGTCACCGCTCGACTTGTAGACGAGCTTCTTAAGGGCATTCTATTCTTCTTTACAAATTCATACAGAACAAATATTTTTTCAGAAACGGAATTTTGATATCGCTAGCGAATGATACGTGTACCGTTAATTGACACGTAGTATTTGTGCATTGACGCTTATCATCTGTCAGTCGACACTGACCCGTTGTCAAGTAGTTTAGAGGTATTAAATATGCTAAGATCTGTTGAACAATCGCTAAATGTCCTTTAACAAAGAGACAGGTGTTGTCAGTTGGTAATTAGTATGCGTATTGACTTTCTACGTCCCTTTCAGTGTTTTCTGGTTTTTTTATAGCGTTTTATATGTTCAAGGTCTTCTAGAGCTTTTTCCATTCTTGAGATTTGGAGGTCTTCTCTGGATTGGCAGAGTGATCCTAGATCTAGGAGTGATCTAGAATGCTCTTTGGAAAAGTTTTCTAGATATTTTCCGGTGCGCTCTAGGGCATCTCCAGAGCCTGGAAAGCTCAGGAATGATCTTGAAAATTCTGTTTCTAGATGTTTTCCGGCGCGCTCTAGGGCATATCCAGAGCCTGGAAAGCTCAGGAATGCTCTTGAAAATTCTGAAATGGGTCTAGGAAATTGTCCAAAGTGCTTTAATAGATTTTGTAGGATTCTATTAGTACTTTCCAGCGGTGCTTCTAGAGAATTTGTTCTCCAACCAGACTTTTTATATACGAAAATAAAGAAGGCCAGCCTAGTGATTTTTTTGGAATTGATGAAATATTAACATTACTCTATCAAATTTACCATTTTTTTTTGTAAATTGATTTAGGATTATGACAATTTCAAACATAAAAATGACATTATTATCAACTTGTTAGTAGGTTAAGAAAAAACAGATAGAATGCACCATTTAGTAAACGTGTTATGGGATATAGAGTAGTGATCTGTTTCCGCTTTTACTTCCATTATAACACTTCCGTTATCATATTTATTTAATAATTTATTTATTTATTTCTATTTTAAAGCATATCTGTTTGCCCAACGATGAGCTAAACTGTTGCACGTTTCAGATACAATATTGCTATTTTTAAACGAATTTATGGTTAAGTCAACAATCATTTATTGGTCAAAAATTCATTCAACTTTGGACCATAACTCTTTGCTGATAATTGGGATATAATTACAAATTGCCGTTACTTTTCAATCGGAAATCTATAGGCGGAGGAAAATCGGCAGCTTCCATTCAAAAGGTTTAATTTTATACAGTTCCCGCTGTCTCAAAATACACACACGACTGATTAAAAAAGATAATTCATGGAGAGAAATACAGAAAGATTTTTAAAATTATAATTTAGGAAGATATTTCAAAGTTGTTTCAGAACGTAAAAATTATTGAGTTTAATTTTATGCTCAAGTTCAGGCTGTCTGAAAATCAGAGTTGGACTGGGTCAAGCATAGAGTGACCCAGTGACCCAGTTTGACCCAGTGACCCAGCTTGACCCGGTGACCTAGCTTGACCCAGTGACCCATCTTGACCCAGCTTTACTCAGTGACCAGTCTTGACCCGGTGGCCCAGTAATTAAATTATTGTAGGATCATCCAAAACAATTTCAAGTAACTTTTAATAAAAAAAAACTCCCTCAATAATATTCGAACATTAGCCCAATTTCATTCAAGAGAACTAATACCTAAAAAAATCAAATGCATTTGTTTATAGTTTGTAGGTTCAATGAAAGTATTTAAGAAAAGATTTATTATTAAGCTAACTAGTAGAAAAAATTAAATGTGAATGAACACCTGTAAGCAAACTGGTAAGCCCTGAAGCAAAGAAATAACATTATTCTAATACTAATTTTCAACAAACCAGCATTTCATTTATTTCATAATCTGTACACTTGAACCGAGGGCACTGACTTAACTGCGTTATTCGATCAAACTAGGTGACTGGGTCGAATTGGGTCCCCGGGTGAAATTTCGCTGGGTCACTGGGTCAAACTGGGTCACTGGGTCAAGTTGGGTCACTGGGCCAAACTGGGTCACTGGGTCAAACTGGGTCTAACTGAAAAGAGTATGACGTGACCCAGCGACCCAGTTTAATTTAGTGACCCAGGTGACCCAGTTGACCCAGTGACCCAGTCCAACTCTGCTGAAAATACACAAACCAGGTATCAAATTCTTGACAGAACAGCTTCCTAGCTCTCAAACCAGATATAAAAAAAACGTTTTTGACAGTTTTACATCCTAATGTACACTGTCAAAATTTCAAATTTTAGTTTTTTAACTTAGACACTTTTTTTCCCGATTTTTGTAATAAAACCTAGTATAATTTTTGATGGTTGTACATATAAAAAGAAAGTCTTTCGAATAATTTAATACAAAATTTGCATTTAAAGACGAAAGTGTTTCACTATCTCAGCATGAAGAGAGAATAGTCGATTTCCCGCAAGTCGGTCAGTCTGTCTGTGCGATAGCACGATATGGAACGACTACGATTAAATTTTCCAGGTGGATTCTTTATCAAATTTGTAGATCGGAGTTCGTGAATTGGCAACGTACGTAAAAAAAAATAGCCAAGGCCCTTTTGACATCTCCGTTAGTTACGAACCGAATTGCATGAAATTCAAAATGAGCATAAGCTTTCGCCATATGATACGCAACCCCAAACCATAGCTAGTCTTTTCTTAACACAGGACTCACACATTTTCCACTTTTTCCCTTTGCGATTTTGTTTGGGCCTTGGCGCACTTTCCGTCGATGATGCAAAAATTGTTTAACAATCTTTTAAAAAGTATTCAAAGGCCAAAATCGCTGAATTCGCAGCCCGTTTGCATCCCTTTCGTGTGCTCTTCTTTGCAATTAATTTCTTTAGGACACTGCATTTTTCGACAACTCCAATTTTCGTCTCAATTTTTTTTTGAAAAGTACAAAAATGTTGCCGAGTTTTCCGAAGGGATAGTGCGTCTGCTATCTACCTTCCCGCGAGAAAAGGGTCAAAATTTTACTACGTGTGGATTAATTCGGGTCGAGAATGTCTTGTAAACTTGGGTCCGCAAATGCTTCGTTACCGGGATATGATTTTTTTTCATCAAAATCGATGTAAGCCTTTTTCCTTTGTTATGTATTTGGGACTACGTATCGTTGTTTTTAAATAAAGTGCTTTTAAACATCATTTCTGGGAATAAAAAAATGAGTGTACTTAGATAATTCGCTTGTACACAGCCAGTTTTGCTGGTTTATTTAAACGCGGTGGAAGTAACATTAATTAAAAAGTTGTATACGGCGGAACAGTCGCCAAAAGCTTTTGAATATAAAGAAGCTATAGCAGGTTTATCATCAGAATACAAAGGAGATATTGATTTGTAGATAAATATTGTTATTTATATAAATTAAGGCATATCAGTGTGGGAAGAGATGAACAGTGAAGGTATCATAAGAATTATTATTAATATTAGAGAACTTTGTACTTTCACACCCTGCGGCCTGCGGCTTTGCCACTTTATCTCGACTCCACCTACAGACGATAGGAAATGCGGAAATAATTTCTCCTTGGATACTTTCCAAGTTAGCACCATAAAGCAATATGCGAAAAAATTGCGTAAATTATGCTTTCATTTAAACTCAAAGTACACTCCTCCATATAATTTTAATGAAGATATTAATCTCATTAAAAGCGACTCGTAAACAACGCGGACCTTGCGTAATTTCGAAATTATTAACATCGTCGCGTCGCCGTGTTCCAGTTTGGTGCGTGTAAATTGGAGTAGCCGCCTGCCTCCCCTTCGAAAGTGGGTGAAAACTCGTCGAGTTTTATTTTTTTGGAGCACGCTGAGAATCGATGCTCTACACAGCGGCAGGTTAATTAATATGTGGAACGATGCCGTAAACAAGTGTCAACCTTGACATAATAAAATGGCGCATTGTGTAAGTTAATGGTACGGATTATGTACGAAATGGGAAACGATTAAAACAAAAAGCATGCCGTTGTATGTTGTTACACTGATAAGCATTAATAATGGCGATTACGTGAAACACTGCGGTTAAAGATCCTTGAGTTTATAAACTAACAAAAAAAATTATTTTGCTTTCTGCATTAATCGATAGTCATAAACAGAAATGTGATAATTTGCAAT